TCCGTGGAAACTGAAAGTTTACAATTATTGTGCCTTTAATCAACATTTTTCATAAAAATCCACGCAGAAATGTGTTTTTATATGGACATCAATTATGTTAAACCAAAAAACAAAAATTTGATAAAAATTACTAAACAAGCAGAAAAAAGCAAGTTTCTTCGATTTCATTATTTTGACGAGAGCCTGATTCCACCACGCTGCCTCACATATGACCTTTTGGAAATAATTCTGCATGTACTCAAAGTTCAGTGATTCAATGATTTTAAGTGCATTAATTGTCCCCTTGATCAGCTAAATATGATGCTTAATTTGATATTACTGAAGAGTCATATGACAGCATCAGTATTAATCAATTCAGACTTTTTTACACTCAGGAACAAATGTTTTTAAAAATTTATCCTTTTGTGTTTTTGAGGTTGTTTTTTAAATGTAATCTATAGTTTGTAAATTTATGTTAAATTTATGATTAGAACTGTAAGCCAGCAAATTACAACGGCTACTATCTTAATAATTATCAGAATTGTAACATGTATTTGATATTGAGAAAGAAAAGGGGTAACATTAGAAAAAAAGATTTAGATAAAGAGTTTTACTAAAGTATGAAATCCCTTCACCACATCACCATTTCATGCGTTCTTTTAAAAGTTATTAATTTTTATTATGTCACTTCTTACTGTGCTAGTACTGATCGGTGCAAAGAAAGACGTTCCTCTTACTCTCCAGTCTCTTATCCTCGCCTGTCTCCACCATCCACAGATCCGGCTACTCTGCCTGGCTGGAGAAAGATCCTGTACCTTATATGTGGTTATGAGCCCCCTCGTGATGTGGAGATTAGCCAAGAGGAGGTGGACTTGTTCAAGAAACAGATGAACAATATAGAGGAGAAGGGTTTTTGGAAGATCTTCGTGAACGCTAATGCTGTGGTGCTTATGTCATTCGGAGTTTTCTTGTGGGTTTTCTTTGCGTAGTGGTTCCCGCGATATCAAAAATATAACCTCCCTCCGTGGACATGCGTGGTTTTGAAAGATGGGTCTGCACAACTGGATGTCCGGGTAACTTCTTAAGAGTTGAAGCCTGGGTTGATATGTAGATAGATTCTGTCACGTGATTATTGTAAACTTATTCTTTCTGTTCGATTTGTTGACTTCAGAGCCTTGGCTTTCCGTCACAATTTCAAAAGTGAGGACAACATAATTGAAGGGGGCAGAAAAATACAGGGTCTAAGCCACATTTTGATTTTTGTTTAAGGGTTCAAAGTATGACGACACACATCAAGGGAGACTACACAAGATAGAAGTTGGATAATGATAATAATCATAATAATCATCATCATTTGTGTGGCGTGCTGACAAAATGAGTTACTTCTCGCAATCCACAAATGGAGATATTGGCCAAAAATCAACACCGAGGTCAAATTAGCAGATCTTTTAT